TTTATTGTTAAGTGGGCAATTTTCTTTGTTTATGTAGTTACATTTGATATTGTTATTGTTGTAATTGTTATTGGTGTTGTTTAGTATTTTTTATTGTGCTTAGTTATTATTTTCTCCCTTTTATCCATGCAGCTGTAACTAATTGTTATTGTATTTTTGTTCAGAATTTTTGATAATTTTCTGTTTTTGGGAAGAGTGTGTCAATTACATTGAATAATATTTTCCGATTTTTTATTGTAGGGATGTGGGTTGATCCATATTATATTTCTTTTTCTGTTGTTTTTGTATGGATTCTTTTCGTTTTTGCATTCTAGTTTGAATCTCCGCTGTTTCTTAGTGATGATTCATATGTTTTTTTTTGTTTTTATTAAATATTTTTAGGCTATTAGAATTTGTTGAAATTCTTTTATTTATAGATATGGGTATTTGTGAAAATACGTTAGGAGGGTGGCTAGAATTTTTGTTAATGTTTATTGGGTGATTGTTTTGTTTTCTGTATGGTTTGCGATTTCCATTGTTTAGTTTAAATGTTATAGTTAAGAAATTTACTATTTTTATTTGATTTTATATCTATTGTAAATCATAGGGTTTTTAAGGTTTTCATTATTTTTTAAAACTTTTTCTGTAGTTTTACCGTTGGAATTAGGATTAATAGAGAGTCGTCCCTGTATAGACCTATATCTCTTTTGTTAATAATATTTGTTAATTTATTATGTATATGTGTTCCTATCCCTAGCCCCATCATTGCTACCCATTGCTACGTCAATGTTATTATTATTATTAATATTATTATTATTTATCTGGCTCTTTTTGTCCATATTTTTTTATTATGGTATAATAATAATTTTTTTTTATTATGGCAGTGTTTAATTATATTGATGACCTCATTAGTGATAGTCATGTATTGCTTTACTAAATTTAATGCGTTGTTTAGTGTATATACAATAATTGATGGGCAGAAATCTTTTACTCTGATTGTGCGAAGGAGCACTTTTCTTTGTTATTAATATTACTGGTCCAACTGATTGTTGTTTTAGTAGTTTTCAGTTGATTTATATTGAGCATTCTTCTTATTTCTGTGCATATTTTTTCTAATATTTGCTTATTTTCCCAATGTTGATTTTTGGAGGTTTAGTAATCTGCATTTTGGTTTGGTCGTGAAGTTGTCCTTATGATCGTTTAATTTAATAAATGGTTCTATTTTTGCTAATTGTTTTATTCTATTGTCTAATTTTAGTTTAGTGTCTATGTTTTTAGCCTATTTCTTTATATAATTTTCTGTTTCGTTATTAAGGGTTTTGTAAAGTTTAGTTACTTCTTTATCGACTAGTTTATTCTAATTGTTGGTTTCCATTTTATTGATTATTCTGGATTTATCTGCTTTAATAAATAATAATTTTTTGATCTTTTTCGAGTCTTTTTGGAAATTAATGTTGAATTTTCTTATTTTCCAAATTACTGATTATGCTTGGTAAGTCATTTTCAAAAGCATTGAGGTCGTTTTATTGTGGTGGGCATTTCATTGATATAAATCCAAATTTGTTCATATTATTGGTGTTATTGGTGTTGTTGTAGTTGTCACTATTGTCTAATTTTATGCTTTGCATGAAGTATATGTAGGTTTGATGTTGGTATATTTTTAATAAGTAGTTAAAATGTCTGGGTTTCATATTGACGGAAGCTTTTTTGAGAATACATAATAGAGAATTGAATGCCGTGAAAATGTGATCAAACAAAAACAAATATTTGCAAAAGTGCTCAACTGAGGATAATATTTTAGGAGCTATGTCAATAGCGATGTCAAAAATAGTATAAAGCCCAGACTGTCAATTGGTTGTTGAAAGAAAAGACATTTTAAGGCAAACAGTCTTTGCAATAAAGTGCTCTGTATCGAAGAAGTTTAAGAGGATTAATGTAAATAAAATGTGTCAGCTGATTGTTGTTACCTTCAGAATTCCGACTCCAGAGTTTCGTAGACGGACCTGTTCGTCGGCTCCTCAGGTGATATTAGCAATTCAGAGCTCATATTCATTTCTTATATATTAATACAGTGTATTTCAATTACAAGAATTCAAGCAGAAAACTTGTTTTAAATTCTGTTTTTTTTTAACATAAGTTCTATCCTTGACATTAAGCACATTTACTCATAAATATAGATTACTTTAAAACTATATATATATATATATATATATATATATATATATATATATATATATATATATATATGCTCCTGAAAAATTTATTTTGGTTGAGCTCTCTCTGGGAGGAAGTGTGGGTTTGTAAACAGTGACTATTACGGCTAATAATGCAAGACTCTTCGGTAAATCGAATCTAGTTCTCTCAGTCACTGTGTGTTCATCTAAAAATAAATACGCTTAAATTTACCTTCATCCCTACCGCCAATTCAGTCGGGTTTCGATCCTAGCTAGAGGCCACCGGACGTCTAGCCACACTGATGAGTTGTGATACATCGAAACAGTCTGCCTGTGGATGACAATAT